CCCGTCTTTTCTTTTCTTTCTCTCGACCGTGCAAGCAGGGCTTCTTCCACAGTTCTTTATCGTCTCTTTGTCGCTTCAATTTCGTCGTTTTACCTCTCATTCCCTCTATAACAAAATGTTCTTTCCTTCATTGGTATGTCTATACTTCGCATGAACCGGTCGAGTGCGACATGGTCCACAGCTCCACTCCCAACCAACCATGAAATCATGACTAATCTCACAATAGATTCTGGCTGCTGGCAGCCTGCCGACTCTCATTCAAGCCATTCCTCATGGCGTGAAGCCCCATCACTCTTTGCACCGTCGTGCCGCTGCCACCTATGCTGTCATGGGTGGTACCGGCGATGCCTCCGACGGATGGCCATCCCTTAGTCAGTGGTCGGAGTACGAGACTCTGTAAGTCGATCAGCCAGAAGATGCGAGTATAGCATAGAACTAAACAACGGTCAATTTTTTTTCTAGCTGGGGTCTCAACCAAATCCTCATTGCTGCATCATGCGACAACTCTGACGACGAAACAAGCGACATTAACACCAGCATCAAGTCGATCGCCAGCGAAACGGGCATTGACGCTCGATTCATTCTTGCAATTATTATGCAAGAAAGTAAGGGTTGCGTTCGCGTCCATTCCACCAACAACGGTGTTCAGAACACTGGTCTCATGCAGAGCCACGCTGGCGAGGGCTCCTGCAACAAGGATGGCAGCATGACAACTCCCTGCCCCTCCTCTATGATCAAACAAATGATCAAAGACGGCACTGCTGGAACCACCCAGGGTGACGGTCTGAAGCAGTGCTATGAATCCCAGAGCGGCGCTGAGGCGGCCAAGTACTACAAGGCCGCACGCACTTACAACTCTGGCTCCATCGACCCATCCGGTAACCTAGGCCAGGGCGGTGCAACCCACTGCTACGCCTCCGACATCGCCAACCGTGTCCGCGGCTGGGCAGGCGATATGAGCGAGTGTACCGAAGCTACCATTGGAACCGTTACTAGCGGCACGGGGTCCGCCCTCGGTGGTGGCGATGACTCCGGCAGCTCCTCTTCCTCAACCGCTACTGAGCAGCCCACTGAGACTGCTGAGCCTATTCAGACCTCCTCCGCTCCCGTCGAAGCTACCCAGCCCACTGAAACATCCTCCACCGCATCCACTGAGACTACCGCGGGTTGGAGCTTCCCTACCTTGTTCCCCAACGTGAACGTGCACGTCGCCGCGCCGACCCAAACCCCCACCCCATCCTGGACAACCAAGTCTGCGCCAGTCGCGACAACTGCACCAGCTGTCCCCAGCTCCTCATCCACAAAAGCCCCTCTGTACCCCTACGCCACCCCATCCTGTCAGAAATACTACACCGTCACGAGCGGTGATTTCTGTATGAAGTTGACCGAAACTGTCGGAATCACCTTCCCCAAGCTCCGCAGTTTGAACAGTGGCCTCGACGAGAAGTGTTCGGATCTGTGGCTCGGGTATCAGTACTGTATCAAGGCTTAAGTTCGATCCTCTGGTTGATCTACTTTCGGATCTCTTTGTCTTTTTTGCGCTGATGTCCAAGATCTGTTAGATCTTTTTTTTACTTTTCTTTTCACTCTTTAAGGCGGTGCCTTCTTTGTATATAGCATGAGCTTGCTCTGCAAAAAAAATTGACCGTGGGGGATGCTGGCACTCGCCCTTGGTCTTTTTACGACGAATGACACCAGCGAACATTTTATGACACCAACGAACAATTTTACACACCTGGACTTTCCACCTTATTTGATCATTGTAGAGTAGAGTATGTCTAGATACAAAGAAGGACAAAGGGAACTATTTACTGTGGTTGTATGGAACGCATTGGAAGATTTGACAAAGCTATTGTTTGAATGAAAGATCCCGAAATCAAAGAACACGGTCTAAACTCCATGGATTTCTCCAATCTCCTATTTAAACAAGTTCGAATACCCCGTGCCTACTCATAATCGGCCACTCCACCCAGCAATTTAATCCACCGTACAATTGTCTCACCAGTAATTTGGCCAAGAAACTCTCAATATGATGCAACCAGGGATGTTTAGATATAGATTCGGGGGTCCGGGTCTCCCTGAGTGGGAGGTGAGTGACTATGAATGCACTTACTTTGTGACAGTGCATTTCGACGAGAGGTACAGGAAACATTCCAGTGAAAAGCTCATGCAAAGTATGATCCGTCGAATCAAAGATGGGAAAGCCCAGGTCAGCCTTAAGGCTCTCCATCGCCTCACTCCGCGATGTATCTCAATGCCGGTATATGGACCCTATGATGCTCCTAATGCTGTCATTCTTGCAACTGCTAGAGTAGTTGCAGAAACCCGCTTAAATGAAATCCACCAAGGTTTTGTGGAGATTGATATGGATCTCCTTTTTGGCCGTGAACATTAGATATACCAGACTCCAAGTTGGCTTGCAATCTATAAAATCTTCGGCGATTCTGCTTCAATCTTCTTCTATTGAGTACCATCCATAGTAAATATTCGATATATTGTATACTCCTCTTCCACTCTACATTCGCATAAAAGGCCACTGGCTCTTTGTCATACCCTAGAGTGGAACATCCAAGTTGAAGGACTGCATATTAGTTTAACTGACTGGTTACTTTCAATTAATGACAAAGAAATATTTATCTCATCTATAAGTTTCTCATGATAGTGATCCTCCTACCAGGTAACTAGGTAGATTGTAGGGTGAATAAGCAATAGACAGCAAATCATTTCAACTGAAGTTCTCCTCCTTCCACAACCAGTCGAATCACCTCCTTATTCAATCCTTCCCAGTGATTCCGTCCCTTTACAAACCAATAAACAAAAGCAAACAAAGTAGTTGCACCAAAAATAGGCGCCGCATAGTTCATGTTCTCACTAGTAACCGGCAACGCAGACGGGAATGCTAGCCACACTGTTACCCAGGCAGTATATACCAAAGCAAAGACATTAACCGGAAGTCCCCAGATTCCCATATTCCAGTTCCCAAGAGGCGCCACATGCTTCTGAAACCGGTTATGCATCATGCAACTAATAGCAATAAAATATGATACGAAGAGGCCAATCGACCCCAGTGCAACGAACGCCCCAAAGGCGGCGCCATCAGCGATGTTCAAACACGCTAGAACCATGACAATGAGCACTGGGAGCCAAACAGCACGAATGGGCACGTTGTGCTTGCGGTCGATCTGGCTTTACTGTCAGCAAATATCTTCTGCGTCGTGTTGTGTGGCATCGTCTGGTGCGGGTGCTACATACATAACTAAACCACCGGGGCAAGGCACCGTCACGAGCCCATGCCCACGTCAGTCTTGAGACAGACGCGATACTCGCCAGGTTGACTGACAGCGAGATCACAAGTAACCCGCTCACCATTGCAGTGGCGGCTTTCACAGACCCGGTTGCTTGCCGGCATATTTCGATTATTGGAAACCTGGATTTCTGGGCTTCCTCCACCGAGCCCATTGTGAAGAGCATACAGACGACCATTGCATATGCCAGGATACCGTTGGCGACGACGGTATAAAAGATAGACCTAGGAACAGCTTGTTTTGCTCGGCGAACTTCTTCACTCATGTGTACTGCGCCGTCAAATCCTGCGGTTCTGAGCTTTCTATCTTTGCTTCTCTCAAGTATATTGTGTGTACACACCAACGAAGCCCCAGACAGGGGTAAGCAGAGCTATGTTCCATGCGGGGAATTCTGCCCAGCGCGACGTACTTTGCGAGTGTAGAAAGACAAATTCTGGTGTGTGGCGGGGTGCTAGAGCTGTAAATACAACTAGAAACACAATCAGAAGGCAGATGTGCAGAATACCCGCTAGCATCTCAATCCACGGAATCAGCCAAAATGTATACATGTTCATCAGCGCTTCGACAATAAGCATGCCAACAATGATGAGGGTTATGTGCCATTGCTTTGGCTCGTACTCTGGGTAGTTCACACTCGCTAGGCCCTGGATCATCGTAGCAGTGGTATTGGCGACACCAGCGAGTATGGAGATCCACGCAAACCAGGTCACCCAACCTGCATAATGTTAGCATTGAGCCAGAAAGTACTCGATAAGTGACACACCCTGCATCCAGGTGATGAACTTCTTCTGACTCGTCGGTGCTAGGTAATGTGTCCAGTGATACTGAACCCCAGCAATTGGCTGCATCGACGCCATCTCGGCTAGCGAGGCAGATTGAGTCATTGCACCAAACACCACAATGACTATTCCCCAAGCTAAAGCTTCAGGGCCGCCATTTGATAACACCGTGCTCAAATTTCTAAATAGTGGCCGTGTTATTAGTGCTGGGGCACAACAAAGATAAGAATCTCATACAAAGCCTGAGTTTCCCAGCTCGACAAGTAAGTGAGTGAGAAAAAGAATATCTGGGTGAAATTGAAAAGTCGCTGTATACTGTCTCAGTTGGGTAGACTTCAGCGACTTAATAAATCGTACCTTGGGCGAAGCCTGTTCCGTGGATCCAATTTTACGCGAGCGATCATAGGCATTGACGACATTTGCATCTTGATCCGGTGCGAATTTCCCAATGCTAATACTTTTCCCTTCCAAGGGGTGCATCCCAAGGCGCTCCATTTGTTCCCAGGGAAGAAAAGAGGTAGTTGATGACAGGAAACAAAACATCGGACAAGTCCCGAAGGAAGGTCGGAGAAAGAAAAAGCAAAAGTGGCGAGGAGGCCATGAATCCAAGTAACAAGGATTATGCAAAATCCTTGTCTTACGGTGGATTGTCCTTGTCTTGCCTAGATGGGATTGATGTATGCTGCGACACCAGTATCCGGCCTACTTTTGGAGATGGCACCGGAAGATGCACGGTTGTGGAACTTCAGATAGACTGATCAGTTGCAGGACAGGAATAATCGTGCTGTTGTGCATTTGGTGGTGTGGAAGATCAAATGAAGAGCCAGAACTAAGAGTACTCGAACAATGGTTGGGTTCTGTATATATCATGGAATGTCTCATCTGTTGATCTACGGCATAAACATGATCCCGCTCAATGTCCAACGGGAATCTTTCGACTGCCATGTCATCCAGCATAACGGTTCTCCTGCCACCACTCTTGCCTGTCACTGATAATGATCACGGTGCTTGGGTTATCACCGTGAGCACTATTCTACTTGTTATCACTATCCTTGCGACAACAGTGACATTGATATCTCGCATCCGTGTTTTGCGCAGAGTTTCCTGGAGCGATTCAACTCTATTTATCAGTTGTGTAAGTGGCTTTGCCTTCATTAATTGCCTATTCTAATCAATCCGCTAGATCATATTTATTCCGGAGACTGTCTGTGTTAATGTGGCCAGCTCCCATGGCATTGGCAAGCACCGAGATGCGTTGAGCAATGCCTCATTTGAAAAATACAGCAAGGTAAGAAGGTTGAACTTCCTCTGAAACGTTATATTCTAACATAATCAAGGCACTCTTTGCGAGTCAACTTCTCGCCGTTCTCGTCTTAGGATGTTCCAAGGCTGCCGTTGCACTTCTGGTCCTATCCTTGCAACCTTTTGAGAGAATGACACTTGCATGCAAGGTTGCTTTGGGCTTGATCAGTATCTGGGTTATAACTGCACTCATAGCGCTCGGAAAACAGTGCGATCAACCACAACCGTGGAACTCCAGCCCCGAGCGATGCGTGAACCAAGAGGCTTTATATATCGCGTTGGGTGGCATCCACATGTTATTAGATGTGGTAATCATTGGGCTGCCGGTGGCTTTACTATATCAAGTCCAGATAATACAATGGAAGCGCCACCAAATCTCCGCCCTGTTTGGAATGCGCATCCTGTGAGTAGATCTCCAAACATCAATAAGATCCCCATCTAATCCCACGCAGAGTTCTAGCCCTGACCATTGCTGGCCTACGCTCCCTCCGACCACTCTATAACTCCAACCCTTTAGATGAAACATGGAATGCCCTTATTCCAGCCATCTGGCTACAATTAATCCTCAGTTCCTCTATTCTCTGCACATGCATCCCAACCCTCAAACGTGTCCTGGCTGAGCTCCAGACCGGCATGATGGCCGGCATAGTCTCGGACTTTTTTGAGCAATCCGTCTCTGGTCACGCCAACTCTAGAGATCAATCAGCATCCAAGTCCGATAATGCCATTGGGCAGAGATCAGGTTCAGGGTCGGCGTCCCGCTCCCGAATTCGAAGTGACTCGGTCGACCTAGAGCGCGTGGATAGTCAAAAGAACCTACAACAAAGTGCCGTGCGAACTATCAACTATGAGGCCTTTTACGAAGGGCCTGATTCTTCCTTATCTTCCCATAGCGATGATCTGGGTATATATTCACATGGAGCCTAAGGCAACCGGCGCTAAAAGGTTGAAATTATTCCTCGGAAAGTAGAACTGCTAATTATATATTCAATTAGATTATCATATTTCTTGAAATATTTTCACCGACATTGATATAGATCTTTTAATTTCTGAGAGTTAGTAATGTTGACTCACTAAGACTTAGTGGGGCAATGTGGGTTATATATTCAAGAGACGACTTTTAAAACGTCCAAACTATTTTGAAAAAAATGTCAGACGTTCTTGATGTGTTGGGTCAAACTCCAGGCCTCTATAAATTGTACACACAAATATGTTCCATTTACCGCGTCCCCGAGACATCTTCTCATGACGCCATCATCAATACTTTAACAAACGGACTTGACCGATTGGCAAAAAGTTTCCCGTGGCTTACTGGCCAGGTTGTCAACGAGGGCGCTGGGGATGGTAATACAGGTGTCTTCAAAATAACTCTTCTCGACAAAATCCAGCTCGTGGTGAAAGATCTACGACATGACCCCTCCGCGCCGACAATGGACAGGCTTCACCAGGCCAAGTACCCTTTTACCATGCTCGACGAGAACACCATTGCCCCTTGCACGACTATAAACCTACCTGGTAATTTGCCAAGTATCACGACCGAGTCAGCATTGGTCTTCTGTGTCCAGGCGAATTTCATCGAGGGCGGTTTGATGCTCACGCTTGTCGCTCAGCATAATGTCATGGATATGACTGGCCAAGACTTTATCATCGGATTGATGTCCAAGGCTTGCCACAATCAGCCTTTCACAAGCGAGGAACTTTCAGTTGGTAACATGGATCGGAGTCATATTATTCCACTACTGGATGATTCGTACACCCCGGGCCCTGAGCTCGCTCGCCAGATTGTGAAACCCCCGCCAAACGTCAAAGCTGTTGTCTCGGAACCTGTTGTACCTCCAAAGTCTACATGGGCTTACATTGAACTTTCTGCGGCACAGCTTGACTCCATCAAAGCTCTGGCCACGAATACATTGCCCTCCTCGACGGACTTCATCTCTACGGACGATGCTGTCAGCGCGTTTATCTGGCAATCCATCGCCCGCGCCCGGGCGTCTCGTCTAGAATCGACTTCTGAATCAATGCTTACGCGCGCAGTCGACATGAGACAGCGTTTTGGTATCCCCCAGAGCTATCCAGGTCTCCTGCAGACTTTGACATACAACACCGACACTATCCAGAAACTATCTGAAGAGCCTTTGGGCATCATTGCCGCCGAGCTTCGATTTCAGCTCGATCCCGAGAAGAATGATCTTGTATTCAATACCCGTGCCCTCGCTACATTTCTCAGTCGCTCGGCTGACAGGACCAAGGCATCTTTTACTGCCACGGTCAATGTTTCATCGGATTTTATGCTTAGTTCGTGGTCGAGGATTAGCTGTTATGATCTTGATTTCAATCTAGGATTGGGCAAGCCTACAGCTGTGCGTAGACCACGGTTTACTCCCTTTGAGGGCTTGGGATATTTGATGCCTCGATCGGCTGCTGGTGAGATGCCCATTGGTATCTGTCTGAGAGATGAAGACTGGGAACGGTTAAAGGTAGATGGAGAGTTTACGAAGTATGCTAAGTATATTGGGTAATATAGGTAATATAGGTAATAAATTGGAAGCGAAATGATTACTATCCTACAATAGTTGAGAGTATAGGTAGTATTGTCGATCACTTTCTCCGCATTCCAAGTCTCCAAGCTCCTTCTCTCACCCTTTCAATTCTTCTACTCTTTCAATTCTTCTATTTTTCTACACTTCTGCTCTTCTACTGTTTTTACTCTTTTACTCGGTCTCTTACACTTTCAATAACATCGTTGTCTCTTTATCTAACGTCATGGGTGGTGAAGTACCCTTTCGCCCCACTCCGGCTTTACCCCAGTTAGCTGAACGCCCGGTCGGTCAACGGATCAAGAAGATCTATACCGATCGCCTAAACCAGTTCACGTCGAGAGGCCAGTATGAAGGCCAAAACCTCGTCTCAAAGTACCATGAAGCCACGAACTCGGACGAAGATCATGTCAAACTCTCTGTTTACTCGGTTCCGGACCTGCAGCGACCGACCTTCCAAGAGGCAACCTCTCAGGAATTCAAGCCAACCCACATAGGCGCCTCCTTTGGCCCCAGTTGGTCCACACATTGGTTCAGGATTCACCTCACAGTGCCCGAGGATATGCTCCAGCGGGAGCATCTAGAATTCCACTGGGATGCCAACAACGAAGGTCTGATCTGGACAGAGGACGGTCAGCCGTTGCAGGGCTTGACTGGAGGCGGAGAACGGACCGAGTTCATTCTCCCCAAAGACTGGTGTGATGGAAAGAAACATACCTTCTATATTGAAATGGCTTGCAATGGCATGTTTGGCAATGCTCCTGGTGGCGATTCGATTCAGCCACCAAATCCCGATAAACACTTCACGCTCAGCACGGCGCGAATCACCGCGGTAAATCTAGCGGCCCGGGCACTTTACTATGATTTCTGGATCATTGGGGATGCCGCCCGGGAATTCCCAGGTGACTCATGGGAGTCGCATGAGGCCAATGTCGTGGCCAATTCTATGATCGATGCCTTCATTGCCGGCAATGGAAGCAATGAGTCTATCCACGAGGCGCGGAAGATTGCTAGGAAATACCTCGGCGACAAAGTGGATTCGTCCGACGTTTATGACACAGACACGCAGCCAATAGTTTATGCCATTGGCCATTGTCATATTGATACTTGCTGGCTGTGGCCTTGGGCTGAGACTAAGCGAAAGGTAGCACGGTCGTGGTCTAACCAGTGTGACCTGATGGAACGGTATCCTGAGCACCGTTTCGCTTGTTCTCAGGCTCAACAGTTCAAATGGCTTAAGCAGTACTACCCATCCGTCTTTGACCGCGTGAAACGTTGGGTAAAGAAGGGCAACTTCCAGCCTATCGGCGGGAGCTGGGTCGAACACGATACGAATATGCCAAGTGGAGAATCGCTCGTCAGACAGTTTTTGTATGGACAGCGATTCTTCGAGGCTAACTTCGGTAAACGAAGCACAACTTTCTGGTTGCCAGATACCTTCGGTTACTCTACCCAGATCCCTCAGATATGCCGCTTGGCTGGGATGAGCCGCTTCTTTACCCAAAAGCTCAGCTGGAACAACATCAATAACTTCCCTCACACTACATTCCAGTGGGTTGCGCTTGATGGCAGCCAAGTCATGTGCCACATGGCCCCTGCCGAGACCTACACGGCTGAAGCGCATTTTGGTGATGTTAAGCGCAGTGTCACTCAACACAAGTCGCTAGACACGGACAAGTCATCCCTGCTTGTGTTTGGAAAAGGCGATGGAGGTGGTGGCCCAACCTTTGGGCACCTTGAAAAGCTACGTCGCTGCCGTGGTCTCAGTGACCAGGTCGGCTCATTGCCCCGAGTGAAAATGGGCGAGTCGGTAGATGACTTCTTTGCAAATCTGGAGACAAAGGCTGCCTCTGGCACTGATTTTGCTACCTGGTACGGCGAGCTTTACTTTGAGTTGCACCGTGGAACCTACACCACTCAAGCAAAAAATAAGCGCAATAATCGCAAGTCCGAGTTTTTGCTACGTGAGATCGAGCTTCTTGCGACCTTTGCCACAATCAGTGCTTCCGATGATGGATATCGGTATCCCAAGAAGGAGATTGACGAGATGTGGGAAGGAACCCTCCTTTGCCAGTTCCATGATTGCTTGCCGGGTAGCTCCATCGAGATGTGCTATGACGACTCAGACAAGTTATATGCCGAAATTTTTGAGACTGGAGCCAAGCTGCGAAAGAATGCCCTCGAGGCTTTGGGGCTCGCTGGCAATGCCACGAGTGAACATCTCATGGCCCTCAACACCTTGCCGTGGCCCCGATCAGAAGTTGTTGCGGTTCCCCCAGCAGTGTCCTCATACAATGGATCCCGATACGCCGTGGCTGAGGGTACAACTGGAGTAATGCAGTTCCAGCCAGCTGACTTCAAAACCACCACTTCAGTGACCGTGGCCGAGGTCAAATCTGGTGTCTTCCGCCTAGAGAACGGTAAGCTTAGGGTTGATGTTCAGAACGGGGTTATCACATCCTTGTACGACGTGGAAACCGAAAGAGAGATCGTCGCAAAGGAGCGCAAGGCTGGCCAGCTAGTCATCTTCGACGACAAGCCTCTTTACTGGCAAGCATGGGATGTCGAGGTGTTCCACCTTGAGTCCCGAAAGGAGTTGCCCGGGGGTAAGACGACCATTGTAGAAAATGACCCGCACCGGGTGAGTGTCATGACTGAGACACAGATCAGTGACAAGAGCTGGATCAAGACCACAATCAGTCTGTCGGCATCCACATCCGATGAGCCATCATACGTGGAAATGGAAAGCGAGGTGGAATGGCAAGAGACGATGAAATTCCTCAAGGTCGAGTTCCCAGTTGATATCACCAACACTGAAGCATCCTACGAGACCCAGTATGGTATCGTTAGGCGCCCGACTCATTATAACACAAGGTACATATGCACCGGCCCCCGACATACTTCACAAAGATACTAATTACTCTGCAGTTGGGACATGGCCAAGTTCGAAGTCTGCTGTCACAAATGGGCCGACCTCTCCGAAAACGGCTACGGAGTCTCCATCCTAAACGACTCTAAATATGGCTTCGCAACATGCGGTAGCCTGATGCGCCTTTCGCTGCTTCGTGCCCCCAAGGCACCAGATGCCCACGCTGATATGGGCCGCCACCACATTCGCTATGCAATTCTTCCCCACGCCGGTGCCCTTGATGCCCGAACAATCCGCGCGGGCTTCAATTTCAATAACCCACTCATCGTTGAAAAGGCCGGCCCTCAAGTATCTGCTTCTAATGCCCTGTTCAAATCTCTTTCTATCAAAGGCGCGCCATCCTTGATTCTGGATGTTGTCAAGCGCGGCGAGGATGATGATGATGTTTCATGGGATGGCGTTCCTACCCGTCCGGGAAAGAGTGTTATTCTGCGTGTCTATGAATCGCTTGGCGGCAAGGCTCGTGGCACCATTGAGACCACACTGCCTGTGAAGAGTGCTTTCAAGTGCAATATCCTTGAGGATAATGAGGAACCCGGACTGGATATTGAGACTGAAGATGGTCGTTCGGTGATCAGGATTGAGTTGAGGGCGTTTGAGGTCGCTACGTATCGACTGCAGCTTTGATTGTAAGGAACGGATTTGAATGGCAGGATTGAACCAAGCCCAGGGAGTATCGCAAGGCACCCAGTGTATGTATCTAGCTCGTGTCGCAATCAATCGGAAGCAATGAAACAAAGGATGTATCTGACAAACGCTGTAGTCTGTATAAGTTCGTGATTTACATTATATCGCATCGTAGGTGTAATAAGGCAGATAAATCCCATTCCCATTTTCCCGCTACGCCCGCAACACGACTCCTCCCAGGAGTCGTGTGAAAATACAAACCAACCAACTCCGAAATAGAGAAAAAGCCAAGCAGATGCAAGACGGGCTCAGAATATGAAGACTGGATCTCCCAAGACTCAGTCTCTCCCGTAGCTGATCTTCAGCCGCTTAACAGAAGGCTTGTCCTCGTCAGAAATATCCTCGGTCTGGTTCTTGCCCTTCGTATTCTTCGACCCGCCAGTCGCCTTCTTCTTATTCTTCGATGAGCCATTTGAGTTCTTCATCCCGCTAGCAGAAATAGAGGCGGACAGCGGGTCAATCTTCATAGACATGCCATTTCCGCCAGTCGTAGATGTCGGCGTTGCTGCGTGGGAAGGCGTTGTTTGTACAGAGGAGGGACCTGGGGAATCCTGCAGATAGAACAATAATTGTTAGCCCCCAGTTCAAATCAAAAACACCGTATTATCAGCGTCCAAGGCGAATAGTCCTCGCTAGGTACGGTTCTGCATACCAACATGTAACTCGCCGAGCTCCGCGAGAAAACTCGATCCGATTCCGTCACCTGCGCCTTTCGCCTCGACCCGGCCATGCTGCCGCCCAGACCCAGTCCCGCAGCACCGAGACTTGACCCATTTGCGGAACCTTTGATGTAGTTGTCGAAGCCCTTGATGATATTTCCAGCGGTGGTTTCTTCTAGGTATGATTGTTCGAAGCGGAAGATTTGGTCTTCGAGTTGAGACTAAGGAAAACATGTGTTAGCAGCACATCAGGGTAGAATGGTTTACACATCCATTGGGGGATATTTCGAAACGATGCGAGATTGCAGAACATGTTCGCGCAGCGAAAGAACAAAATTGCAGAGAGTTGACCATGTCCGGTCCTTGGGGGACGAGAGCGCGCGAAACTGCACTCACCATGCTCTTGTCCATTAATCGCTTTTTCTGTAGTGTGTCCCTCAGCTCGCGGCGTAGTTTCTCATAATATGGTAGCCCGCGACTCGCGGCATTCTGATCCGCAGGCGCATTCGGTGCCCCTGCTGTTGCGCCAGCTGTGGGCGCTGCAGCTCCGGTGTTCGTAGGCGCGGCTGTTGGGGCCGGTGCTGTGTCTGCCATTATTGGAGGGGTGGAACGCAATGAAAAGAGTAATTATTTTATGTTGAAGGGGCGTATTTTATGCGCAGAATGGGCGAAGCGGGGTTGAGATTGAGGTAGAATTTGTATGAGTG